TTGAGTTTCAATTCCAAGAGTCGTGGTCGGAGGTTACTGTCATCATAACTGTTGAGGTTGTGTATCACAACCCCCCAAAGTAAAAATATTGAGCGGTGGTTGAGCAAGTAGTATAGGTTGCAATACTGGCAGAATGAAATTGGTGCACAGAGTGAAACGCGATTGTGTCCCAAAAATAATCACAAAAAGGGGGTCCTCAGTAAGCTTGATAGTACTAATCGTAACGTCACAGTGTTAAGTGCTCGTGCAAAAACTACATGTGTGGGGTTGTGACCAAACCTCGTGAACACTTTTTGTGAGGTGTTGTTGTTGTTGTTGTTGTTGTTGTTCATATGAACACAACCTACTTCTTGTTTCCTTCCCAATAGTAGTAGTTCTTTTGATACTAAAAATACCAGTGCAGTTCCTCCCAATTGCTAACCAGTTCGTGCTGTTTACCATTCTTGCCTAGTGGTATCACGTGCAAAAATTGGCACATCAAAATTACCACTGGAACCCTTTCAACACCCAAAATTAAAATTACTTTGAGCGAAATACAACAAGCTTTGTTTGAAAGGCTATTCCAACCTTTTTGGGATCAAAATACATAAATGTACCATGGGATGTGGTTTAAATCAAAATTGCAAATTGCCCAGAAGAAATCACGCTTTTTCGTCGCTACAATTTTCAATTCCATAGAGACAAGAACTATTTGCTATTTGTAAATGTTCTACAAGATTTGCCTGCAATCTACTTGTTGTATTTCCAACCATAAACACGAGCAGAGACCATGCTCGATTTTTTCTAATTCCAGATACTTTTTATGGGATCCAAGGTCAATCGATCTACCATAGTTTCGAGCGGATCGGAGTATGGACACCAGCAACACAATGGCGTGCTACAACAGCCGAGGCTCCTTCTCCTCGATATAGTTTGCCAACGAACGAAGAAACGAACGAACGAATCGATTCGTTCGGTTGGCTGGTTGGCCGATCGCCTAAAACCGTGAGGCAAAGGTTCCCTGGTAGGGGACCACACCAATGTCACCCACCGCTGCCAGGGCGGGGTTGGACCCGAGCATGGCGGAAGCCGCAGCGGCCACGTCGCTCTCCGAGATGGAGTCGTATGCGGTGGCCACGGTCGCCGCGTCCAGAGCGCTTCCCGACTCGAGGACGGCGGACGTCATGGCGGCCGCAAGCCCGACGCTCCCAGAGTCCAGATCAAAGGCCGCCTCGGCCTTGGCCAGGGTTTTCGCCTTTTCAATCACCTCGGGCGTCAGGCTCGCGGTCAGGGCATCGGTGATGGAAGCATCGAGGGCACCCGCACCCGCGGTGGGTGCGCTCGCGTACACACCTACCATTTCGCCGGCGACAAAGGAGGTCACACCGGCTTCCTTTCCTAGCAGGCCAAAACAGTGCTTCAGGACGTTTCGCATCGGAGCGGTCCCCTTGGCGTCAAAGGCAAGGGCAACGTGGGCGTAACCCATCGAGGGGGAGGACAGCCTCGATTCTCCACCGAGGAGCTTGGGTTTCGGGGAACCCGAAGCGTCGCCGGTTGGCGCCTCCGATAGAAGGGACTCGACCTCCGTGCAAAAGGCCTCGTGGTCCCGGATTCCGGTCGCGGTGAGAACGGCGCCGTTGATGCCATATGCCCTGGTGCGGAAGGACGCAATCTCGTACGCCGAGGCACCGGCGCTGTAAAAAGGGCGTCCCATGGAGGAAGACGCTCCGTAGGCAGCCGCATAGATCTGTTCCGTCAGCACGACTTCCAGGCTTTTGTTGGCTTCGTCGAYCTGATAGTTCGCGAGTTTCTTGGCATCGCGAACGTCCCACTTTTCGAGGGAGCAGTCGAGGGCCAGGAGGGGAACGAGGCCCAGAGCATTGTCGGGTTCCACGGTGTAACCGAGAGTCGCGCTGGTTCGATCCGCCTTGGCAAAGGGCGTAGCGCCCTCGTTCTCAATCGTTCGGTTCACCAGCGTCGTCGACAACCCCGATCCACTGCAAAAGGCCAGGCACTTGTTGATGAGGGCCGCGCCTTGTTCGTCCAGGCTCTCCGAGGAGGAGCCCGCGTTCGGGTAGGTCATTGTAACGGTGGACGTCGAGCAAGCATCTTCCGTGACGACGGTCAAACCACTGGGGAGAGTGCTGACGGAGGCCTTGCTCGCTTTCGCGGGTTCCGGGATCAGTGCTGGGACCCTGTTTCGCGATGCATCAAACGTGGCGTGGCAAAAAGGGCAATCAACGTGGAGTGCACGGAAGGTACATGCAGTGTTTTGTGAGCAACACGAAGGAAAGATACTTTTGGGATATGCAATCCGATCAGACTGTCAATCATTCAATCGCCRACACTACACCACACAACATTGTCYTCTTCCATCTCCGTTCAGCACACTCACCCCGGAAACTCTTCTGTCGCATCAACAAGAGTCGACAACAATTTCCCTTGCCGTCCTGCAACAGCGGCTCCCTTCTTGGACGCTGCCCGCAGAACTCCTCTCGTTGCAACATTCATCATGACTTTTTGTTTTAGAACTGGATAGTGGTACAAGYTTACTATCGTGTTCTACCAGTAGTTTGCTTTGTTCTTACTGTATCGTGTACGGTCAAGTATCGATCGCTGGATCGAACCGTGCTCGGGGKTGCTATCGTGTATGAATGGATTCGTTCCTGTATTAACAGCATCGGAACAGAGCAGACCTAGCACCACATAGTGCCGTGCCGTACGGTACCGTACGATAGACGGGCGGGGTTTCGTTTGACGGCACTTTTCTTTTTCTTCTCTCTTGCCAATCAACGAACAACGCTTAGTCGCTGAGAAACCCCAATGATGTCCTAGATCCGGGCAGCTGCAGCTGCCGCGTCTCGCTAGCTTGAAGAAGGAACGAAGGGAAGGCGTTCCAAGCGTTCTTCCTGGATTTTGGTCGAGTGGATCGAATCGATCGAACTTCGCTAAAACACGGTTTCTCCACCAATCAAAAGCTAGTCCAAAATTCGACTGGGACCCAACCAAATATTCAGTCCCTAGAGGCCGAATGAATTCAAAAATTCAGAAACACGCTGGCCGGTTTTCGAACCATTATGGAATTTCGGCTCCATCTTTTGGTTGAGACCGCACCACAATCACTAAACGTACAACGGAAGTCACGATCGTACTCGTACTTCCCGGTCGAAGCACGAGTGGTAGCAGCTTAGTCCAACCACCGTCCCCAACCCTGGCAACAGCCCTCTCTATCGACAAATTCAAATTGAAATTGAAAGACCGACGGTAGCAGCGAGCAGAACAGCAGACAAGCCATGGCAAGCACCGACACCCAAACGGAGATCACCCTCAAGGGTAGCGTCGACATTGTATCCGAGTTTTTCTTTACCGCCATCAACTCCATTCTCTATCAACGTGGTAAGTTCTTTGCGAGGTTTTCAATGGATGCTTGCATCGCCCGCGTCCGGTCCCTTCGAGTCGGCTGGCGAGGTCGACCTCTGGGAACAATTGTTCTTGATTTCGCAGAAATGTCTGACCGACCCACCGCGCTATCCGCTCGCTCTCTCGGTTATCTACTCCAACAAACATCGATCGGTTGGCAGGAATCTACCAACCGGAAACCTTCAAGCGGCAATCCAAGTACGGGTTGACCGTCCTCACGACCACCGACGATGGCTTGCTGAAATACCTGGGACAGGTCATGGCGCAGGTGGATTCCTGGCTCCTCAACGGCGACGTTCAGCGGCTCGTCGTGGTCGTGAGCGGCGTCGATTCGGGAGAAACCCTGGAGCGGTGGCAGTTCAACGTAGACCTGGACGGCGGCAGCGAGGGGGGAGACGAAAACCGGGCCCCCGGAACGAACCCCAACAACACCGCCAAGAACGCTGCCAGCAGCGACAGCAAGAAATCCAACAAGTCGCTGAAAGAAATCCACGGCGAGATCCAAGCGATCATTCGCCAGATCACTGCCAGCGTCACGTTTTTGCCGCTCCTCAATGAGCCCTGCTCGTTCGACCTCCTTGTCTACACCAAGAAAGACGCCGCCGTTCCCACCAAGTGGGAGGATTCCGACCCCTGCTACATCATGAACAGCCAGGAAGTCAAGCTGCGCAGTTTCACAACTTCTGTACGTCGATCCACTGTTTCGTTTGTTTGCTCATTGTATGGGTGGATGGCTACCTGATTTTCGTGGATGAATTTATTTTTTAGGATGAAAAACACAATGGACTTACGAACTAATGCTACGTCTTGTTCCTTCTTTCTATGCGTTTTCACCGACACCAGGTACACAAAGTGGATTCCATGGTAGCTTACAGAGAAGCCGAAGACTGGGAGCTTTAGATGGTTTCAACTATCGGTATTTTAAACAGATGAAGGCACCCGTCTGATTGGTACTCTTTTAGCATTAGAATAGAACAGAACGATGCATCAATCCCTTTATGCGATGAGTTTCGACCACTTCACCATAGACAAATCGCCGAAAGGAAACCTGGAACATAAATTAATTGCGTGCTTCCAACATCAACATTTTAAATCACATCGCACAAACGCCAAGTTGTCCACCATACCCCGATCCTTCGCAGCTGTTTCTGTAACCGTTGGCGCAGAATCTCTCGCAAGAGGCTGGGGGAACGCATTTCTCCTGGCATTGAAAACAGGACTACCTCTACGTTTCCAATGTATTCATTAGCGCGAGAACCAAACTTTCGTCAAATTAAGTTTCAAAATAAAATAATAATGTTTATGTTGTTAAGAATGCGCATGGCCGTTAATCAAGGAAAGAAACCATTGTTGACTGCCATGCGTAACTCTACTCATCGCCATGAATGTTATATAAAAATACGGTAGTAGATGGACCACACGTGCCCTATGAATACCGCACTCACGCAAAAGGCACGATTGTCGATTGCATGCATCCGTGATTTTTACAACCCTGTCAATTGTGTATTTTGTGAAAGCAACCGCGGCAGGTACAGAAAACGCCAGGATTCATTGCCTCGTCCCAAAAACAAACCAATAGCCAATTGCAATCCGTTTGGGTAGTTTGCTGCCAACATCCGACTTTCTCTTTGATTGGTTTCGCACGCAGCCCACGGCATCGTTGGTACGGTACCGCACACTCTAAACCACCACGCCACCGGATCGCCTGCACTGCCTTTGTTCCATCAGGCGGCGGCCGTCTTCTTGTCGTCCTGCTTGGCCTTCCAGTCCTTTACGGCCGCCTTGATGGCGTCCTCGGCCAGCATCGAGCAGTGGAGCTTGACCGGCGGGAGCTTCAGGTGGGCGGCAATGTCCGAGTTTTTGACCGCCAGGGCCTCGTCGACGTTCTTTCCCTTGACCCACTCGGTGGCCACGGAGGAAGCGGCAATGGCCGACCCACAGCCAAAGGTCTTGAACTTCGATTCGACAATGTTGCCGTCATCGTCGACACGGATCTGGAGCTTCATGACGTCTCCGCACGCCGGAGCTCCCACCAGTCCCTGTGGGGTCGAACGGTGAAACGAGCGGTGAAAAACGGGCCGAGCGAAAGCAGGGGACCAAGAGCAAAGAATGTGTGAGTCCGGTATTTGTCGCATTCGTGGGTTTCGTTTTCTGGTTGCAAAAATCCTGGACCGAAGAAACCAAAAGAAACTGTGTGGAGGAAGAAACGAATGGTGCCTCTTGCGGATTATTGATAAGAGCTGTTCTTCTGTTGTAGTTGCAAAATCCTGTGTCTCACTCCCCACAACGCAATACTCGTAATGGAATCCATTCGGCTACCGCACTGTCAAGACGCAACGATTTTCCACTAAGCAACCAATGGAAACGTATCCGACGAGAAACAACGCACCGTTCCAACGGACTCTTCGTTTTTGTCCATGGAGCCAACGTTTCTCGGATTCTCATAGTGCTCGACGATGTTTTCGTGGTAGCTTCTCTTGTTCACGAGCGTGGAACCACCAAATACTGCTCGTCGGGTTCGAACAACCCTGGAAGCAACTCTCGATGCGGAGGACAGCATTCTGGTTCAGTTYTATGGGTATCGCTGGCAATCTCGATTAGGTCGGCAGCCGTYTGTCTTATGTTCCGTTCGGTCGTGGTGATTGAATGTTGCAAGTTCAGAATACGAGTACTCTTACCGGCACCGCAGGCAGTCAGATCCGGTAGGTGTGCCCTTACGTGAATCTCCGTAGGATTTAGTACTGCTCTGCACCGGGGATCAATGTTGATGAGCAACAAGAAGATGAGCTTCGACCTGTTGATGCTCTCTAACCACCGAACAGCAACAGAGAAATGGTGATGCGCTGTGATCGTCTCAGAAACGCACACACGAGAAGCCAAAATCTGTCGCAATCACGCGCTCAAAAAGTTTGGTCACGAATATGAAATCAAGATATGGTTGTGTTGTATGATACATACGTATAATACATAACGTATCTGCTTGTCAGTTACCGTACGAATTACTCCGAACCTACCGTTGGAAATACAGTACGAACTGTACATGTTACCAGTTTTTGGTACTGCAAACTTCGTACATATTTTCTTGCTACCGGA